CCACATTGACGCCAGTTGCGGCTACCTCGGGCCAACTGTTTCAGGCAAGATCAAAGTTTGGTTCATCTACGCTATCTTCCAATAGAAATGAGAGCATGAGGGCCTAAACTCATGTGTAGTTAGAGGCTCTCACTCGTACAATGCTCTGAGAGCGAGAAAGAAGCCCCATTCCCCTCCCCCGAATCCTCAATAGTAAAGGCCCATCCTACTCCCCGGCAAGGTCGAACCATCATTTTCATTATTGTTAGGGCCCTGCGAGGTCCTAGGGTAGCAGTATGAGTTCGGGAAGTAGAGTCTATCGGCGAATGTACGTGCAGGTGTATTAAGAGACTAATTGCTGGTCCTCCATGCGAGGACCAGCGAGCACAATAAATACATGGTGCGATTAGCTAATGTGTTTAGCGACATGCACGGCCATCCTGGCCCATGCATGCGATCAGCTACCCTCGCAATGCGAGGACCAGGGCTTCGCCGTATACCCTCAGGCATCCATCAGGCACCTGGCAGGTCGGGGTCCTGACAATTATCGCCATCGTCATATATACAGTTCATTGTTGGGGAGCACTGTGAGGTCCTTTCCAATATACTTGGGGAAAGTCGCGGCTCCATTCAAAGCCTCCACTCCGGATCAACATCGGCACCCAAGATCAGTTCTCATTTGGTCAGATGCGTTACCCAAGTTCATACACCTCACAACATTAGCTATTCAGGGTACCCTCCGGTAGTGGAGAATAGGTTTCTTGCTACCTCCTATGAAAACTGCGACTTCGTCTACGAACAACCTCCTCCAGCACCTTTTTTGGCAGCGCCACCCGCGCTCACTTCCTCTCCCCCACCGTCGCCCCCCAAATTTCGGGTGATCCAAGCTCGACCAAATAAGCATGGTTCCAGGGTCAAAAGGATTGATAATACGCGCGTGCTATTGTTGGGAGGAGCAGGTATTTCTGGTCTGGGAGCCAGTAGAGCTCTCGGTGAGTCACATCCTCGCATCAAGGTGCACTATCACTGAGGTGAGATTACTGCAATTGTTCGGCCGGTACGTACAGTGACTGGCCATAAGTTTGGACACCCGCCTTAGACCCACTTTCATACCGCTTTCCCTTATAGCCGACACCGCCTAGAGAGACACGCTAGCTACGCGTCGCTATTTCTCGCGATTTTAGCCATTCTACCTATTTTATAATACTATTTCATGAAGCCTACCTTTCAAAACCTGCTATTTTTACTATGGCTCCACGCTCAGAACTTACACCTGCTTTACGCGAGAGGATCTGTGAGCTTCATACGGCTGCTCGTTGGGGTTATAAACGTATCCATAAGAGATACCCCTGGATTTCACTATCGGGGATCCGGTATACGATTAAAAAAGAGCATGAAAGACGTGCCGGTGTCTCAAAGCCGCGTTCTGGCCGACCGAAGAAGCTTAATGAAGCCGATAAAGTACGCCTTTTAGACTCAATCCACGGGAACCCTCGCGTTACACACGAAGACCTTCTTACTGAGGTCTCTTATAAAGTGAAAATAAAGTCAATTCGACGGCTTTTGAATGCTGAAAACCTCCGGAAATGGCGATGTAGCTGGCGACCTTATTTGACTGAGGAACATGCCTTTAAACGGCGTCAATGGGCTTTTCGCTATCAACACTTTACTCCCGAAGATTGGGCTCGCGTCTTTTGGTCTGACGAATGTACGGTGGAGCGTGGAATTGGTGTCCGTCGAGAATGGACATTTACTCGGCCAAAAGACCAGCCAAAACTTGGACAAGTTCAAGGCCTTCCACAACGGGGAAAGCAAGTTAAGCAGATGTTTTGGGCTGCTTTCTCGGGCGCTACCCGTCGAACTGGTTTGATTCCGCTATTCGGGGATCCGGAATCAGAGCGTGGAGGTGTGAATAGCATCGTTATCCGGGATCTATACCTCCGTATCCTACCTACCCTAATATCGAATGAAGGGTCGATTTTTCAGCAGGATAATGCGCCAACACATACGGCCCACGTCGTCCGAGAAGCTCTACGGGACTTAGAGCTCGAGGTAATGGAATGGCCGCCACATTCGCCTGATTTAAATCTAATTGAGAACCTCTGGGCGTTGTTAAAGGCAGAGATCTATAAGCTTCGGCCTGATCTCATTGATATGAGGAATAATGAGCAGACAAAGGCTATTTTAATAGATACAGCACAGATTGCATGGGACCGATTGAACCTTGAGCACCTAAAACATCTCTCTGAGACTATGCCGCATCGGGTGCAAGCTATTATTGATAGTGAGGGATGGTATACGCAGTATTAATTAAATGGCATGAGGGTTTAAGTTAAAACCGGCAGAAAATTATGTAATACCTAAGTGGGTCTAAGGAGGGTGTCCAAACTTATGGCCAGTCACTGTACTACTCTCAAGGGTGGACATGAAAAACCAAACGATGCTCATGCCCGATAGGTCCTCGAAGGAATTCAATATCTGCGCGGCCAGGGGAGAGCATTCGCCGTCTTGAGTGCTGGTACTTTGTTACTCACGGAGTTCGGTGGTGTCAGGGTCGGTGAGTGGATATCTGAGCATAACTGGCGGGATCACGTGAGCATGAGATTCTCTCTGATCACGTAACCAGATGTACTTTGGTCAACCAATGGCCTCCTCCCTCCGGTGTCACTGTCTCTCTCATTTTCTATCTTCCCAGCACACACAAAATGGGATGCGCTGACTAAGATCCAGGATGACAAAGCCGTATTATCTAATTACATAGATCCACAAGGGAATTGATAGGGACACTCCCACTTTTGTTCCGGACACTCCTAATTATGTAATATCCATGATTAGGTAATTGAAAACGTCATGTGATTGTATTGGTATTCATTCTCCGTATTATTTACATGACCTTCGTGTATGCCCAACTTTACCACATGCAGTGCATTTAAAGGGTGCCCTCTTCCGTTTATTCATAGTCTGGCTGTTGTCTTTCTGCTCCAATTGATCCCACTTCCGCTTTTTAGGCTTTGGAAAAGGAATCAAAGGCTCTAAGAGAGGAAGGTATTCTGATTCCATTTCAGAAAGCCCAGTTCGCCAGAATGGGTGGATATCTGTCAATGGGATAGCTTTATTGCTCTCCAATAAACTAGTAATCCGATGGGCACAAGGAAGACCCATTGTCCTTGTGAACGTATTAGTACAAGGGGGTAAAGGAGCAAGATTTGTAGCTCTTCTAGCCTTTGTAACTTGCTCGCCAATTAGTCGTATCGAATAGCGGGAGGTCCTGATCACAATATTAGTATAAAGTTGATGTAAGGTTACTACTGGCCTCTCAATCTGATCTCGTCTAAAATCATATTCAAGCGTAGCATGCCGGGTTTGTAAAGCCTGTGAAATCCTTTCAAATACGATCAACATATCCCCTGTCGAAGCACCGATGTGCTTTTTAAAAAGGCATGTGAGCCTTCAACTCGAGAGGTCGCAGAATTACCGAGGTGTAGGCATTGTTGTGTCCATGCAACTATAAATTTTTCTTTATGAATTAGCCATGTCTCCTTAACATATCGAAGAGAAGGGGAGGTCTGATATCGCTTCTCGAACTCTGATAGCCTCGAATTGTAGTCGTTCTCTGTAGTAGAATAAATTAGCTGATTCCATGATTTTTGAAATGTTTGATATTCGGCGTTCGTCGTAAAATGCTGCTTCGTATTAGACGTTACGTTCTTGTTAATATGCCAGATGCAAAGAAGATGGGGATAATCTGGACAGACGACCTTGACAGCACCTAATAATGCAAGGTCTCTATCTGTACAAAGAACTGGATAGAAAGAGAGGGGGTCGAGAAATGAGAAAAAAGTCTTTAAAGCCCAAATATAGCTCTCTTCCTGTTCATCCTGCATAAAGCAAAATGCAACGCTAAAGGTTGAATTTGATGGCGAGACACCAATAATATGCAATAGAGGCATACGATATCGGTTTGTCTTATAGGTGCAGTCTAGGACGAATACCCTGTTGTATAGGTTAGCATACTTGATTGACTCTGGGTGTGCAAACATAAAAAAGAGGACATGTCCTTCGCTATCCTGCTTAATAGCATATTTCCAGTGATTTTCCTTCAAAGTCTTCAGTAGAAACTCAAGGGGAGTACTATTACCGAGCTTTTGCCTTCGTAAAGCACTTCGCGCATTGTAGATGTCTCGAGGGGTAACTAAAACATTAGGATGCTCTCGTTTGATTAGAGCTAGGATGCCACGAGGGGGAGATCCAATTTCCGATAGATGTAGGACCTTTTGAAGCTGCTCCTCTGTGAGCCGACGGGCAGCTGAATGTCCGATCATATTATCATCAGCTGTGTGATTATGATTCCGGTTTTGGACCTGTAGCTCCCACTTATCATCAAAAAGCATTTTCCCGTATAGCTTAAATGGACAGCCAATCCGCCGTGTAGTTGTCGTTCTTCGTTTCGCTCCATCAGGAGCATTCACTCGGTCACGATACGTGCCACCACGGTCACAACCAAGATAGATGTACTTATCTGTGATTGATCGTATAGTAGTGACAGCGTAACCTTGCGAGAGAGCATGCTGACGGACAGAGGCAATTAATAAATCTCTGCTATCAAAAATTTGCTCAGTAGGGGGCTCCATTTCTGAAAAATCCGAGAGGCAGAGATTTGAGGAGCTAAGAAAAGAGGGAGGCGAGAGCTGGGGATTTATACGTTTAATATACTATACTATGGTATGACATTTAGAATGATGTTGCTGTGGTAATTCCAATACAATCACATGACGTTTTCAATTACCTAATCATGGATATTACATAATTAGGAGTGTCCGGAACAAAAGTGGGAGTGTCCCTATCAATTCCCTACCTAATCATGGATATTACATAATTAGGAGTGTCCGGAACAAAAGTGGGAGTGTCCCTATCAATTCCCATCCACAACTCGGGAAAAACAGATTCTGACAATTAGCCATGTGGCAGCGGGAGTGGAACAAAGTTGCAAGATCGATGCAGCCGAGATGGACGCAGCCACAATGGAACTGTTTGCTGTGGCGGAGGTGGTGGAGAGACTGATCATGAAGAATCCTTCGCAATACCCATGGAGTGCCGAAGTAAAGAGTCTGCCTGACGAGTTGAAGAGATGCAATTCACCGGAGATGCTACTACGCGTAAGCCTTGACCGCCAAGCCCTTTTGAGTCACCTGCTGACCAATCAGAGCAAACCGTCCGAGCAATTGGGGGATGAGGGCGAATTGAAGATGCTGGTTAACGCGGCCAACAAGACTGCTTATCATAATCTAGAATCGTCCATGATCTAATTCAGAGGAATTAATTTTATTGTTCGTTGAGAAGGAAACATGAGGCTATATACATGACAAGAGGATCAAGCTGATAGCTTGATCCTGATTTTCAATCAACTTGATTCTTTGTATAGACAACTCGGGATTAATTCCGGTGGTGCGGCTTGGTCTGCACCAGCCTTATATTACAACAGTTCAAGCGCATATGAACGTCGTGATGCGTGGTTGCGGACGACATCAGTTCCTCTTGTCAGCCGGCTGGCGAGATATTACATTCGGGTATGTTTCGTTCTGCGGCAGATAGTGCAGAGTGCAGAAATTGGAGGCAATTTGCAGCTCCATCTGAGGAGATCGCTAGGGGTATCTTTCTTGGTACAGCCAAACATCATCCACGTTCACTGACTAGCAAAGTACTCACTACGATTACTGTTACCGCCGGATATCGCCATATACTTCCGGCCCCTCTTAACCTCAATAGATTTGCCCCGATCACTGCCTTCGCCCTGCTCTCAATGTGCGCTGTACGCTTCGATTGAATTCAAATACACATGTATGAAGCTAAGCAGCTTATTGAGATTGTACGATTGAGTGAAGGCAACAGGTGATGATTAGTCAATCTACGAATCAATATGCGTACCCTCTTGTGTCTTGTGTTATTAGTTCTCGTTCTCAAAATGAGTAAGATAACATAAAATACAGCCAGTGAGATGTTCTGGTTGGAAAACATTGTCAGACATGAGGCAAATCTCACCTGCTTTGTTGGTAGCTAAGCTTGGCCGTGTCTGTAAAGATAGCTACCCTCGCATCCATTCCCAGCAGATACGCTATCTTTTGAATCCATCTCGGGGGGATTCAGCGAATAGGAATGAAATCTAGGACCAAATCTTTAATGGAGTTCTTATTGCTGATGCATGCCTCGATCCATGGCGAGAATCCGTTGACGTCCTTGATATCGGGGTTGGCGCCTCTTGAGAGTAGTACGCTTGCGAGTTCTCTGTTGCCTCGGTAGACAGCAAGCGAGAGCACTGTCTGGCCCTGACAATTTGAAAAATCAATCTTTACACAAGGGTGTTGAAGGAGCCGGTTCACGAACGCAAATGACCCTTTCTCCACGCCGTACCACTATGCACACAGGTCGTTCGCGTTTCTTGTATTCACGCACGGCTCTCTCTTACACAGCAAGAGACTGGTGACCAGCTCTGAACCATATTTTGCAGCTGTCATCAGAGGAGAGAAATTATCAACCATTGCATCTACGTCTGTTTGGTAAGAAAACAAGGTCTTTGCAAAGGGGCGATTGTTGGTTTCGGCGGCTCAATGAAGCGCAGAACTTTTTTGGTGCCAAATCTTATATTTTATCAGTGCTAGGAGTAGCTTGGGATAGAGTGTTGAATGTGTACAAGCAAGAGCAGAAATATCGCTTCCTTGCAAGGTTCTGGCTATGATCCAAAGGATCTCTGTTGGGCAGTCAAGAATAGTAATCTGCATGACCTTGTCAGCATTTGGAAGGCTCCTCTCGTGCCTACTATTCATACCATGATTTTGGGCGCTCGAGTTGAGTTCGCGAAAGGGGACAAAACATGCTGCTTAGAAGGCTTTTGTTGGTTCGAATATGAGGGATGATGGCAATGAGTTGTTGAGTGTTTTGAGTTAAGAATACAGGCAAAGGCGATATGGCGAGGTAGAGAAGCTTGAATAACCCTGGTGGCACCAGCCAAGCATCCGCTTTCTCCTACCTGCTGACGTAGCAACGGGCTAGCGGTCCTGGGAACGCTGTCTGAACACTGAGGAGTTCCGTATTCTTGGGAGCATCTCCTTGACTTCTGGAATTTTGTTCAGCTCTATAGAGACCAGATCCATTAGAAACATAATCTTTATGATTGAGATTCTACGGCATTTCAACTGAACAGCTTATGCTCTTAAGCAACGTCGATTTATTCATGTAGGTAGATGTATAATATCTTCTCGGATCAGGTTCTAAGATACCCCTTATCACATGCGCCGACACTCGGTGGTCACAACACCCGAGCCACAGCTCACGCAAGAATGCGTATACCAAGCAAGGGATGCTATTTTCCGGTCGCTAGCGGTGAGTTACCGCAAGCCTGTTCTGACCGAAGGATATATTCCGACAATAGCCTTGACCATCTTGCATTCAGGATCTGGTGTAAAAGTTGGACCTGGATCTGCCCCAGTTCGTGGTCTAGTTATTGTAAGGGCTAGGATAAAGATAGCTTGGGCATTCACGGTCATTGGGTGTCGGGCCCAACTGTCGACCAGGGCACAGCAGGGCGGCGTAATGCCCAACGTAAAAGCAAGAGTCATAGACACCTAAGGGCTCGTATTTAGCGTACGTTTTATTGTTTTTCGGCTGATAGAGATGATTCGTGATCAAAGTAAAAGAGGGTAGACAACGTACCAGCGGCACCACATGATGAGCTTGCATCTTGACAGTTGTTGTTCTCTCCCTGAACCAACGGGAGATGGATGTTCATGTGACTGGGCTCACTTGTGCTACAAATACGTCCGTCTTTCGTTTTCTTAATCACCTTTGAGAGAAATTAGGCTGGAGGACTCCAGAATTAGATCAAGGAACGGGAACTTACTCTAGCTATTCCGTTTGCAACAAAAATGTTAGGGCGAAAAGTCTCAATAAAAGGATGTAGCTGGCTACTATCGCTGTAGGTAACCGTGTATGATGTTGCCGTAGCGTGGCTGTTTAGACTGATTAGTTAGACACTATCTGACAGAGCCCATATACGTACCCCCACGTATAGGAGAAGCCGGCCCTTATGCCAAGTTTGTCGAGATAATCAACAGGTATTTTCTATGCTGCTGTAAGTCCTTGTGCTCTGCACCATAATACTAGCAGAGGATAGACTAACCAAGTCTGGGCCTTCTTGGATTGAGACACAGTACGAGTAAGTATAGGCGTATGACTTCCCGATACTTCCAGGAGGACAGAGGGGATCTGAAACTTGATGTGTGTTGCCTGAGACCACCTGATAGTTCACAGTTTCCCAGGTATAAGAGGTTTCCTGTTCACATTGACAAAGGTCGGGACAATTGATCCATGCAAAGCTTCGAGTATCAGGGCGAGAACTATTGCATTTACACCAACATGTCAGTCAGCTTTTCTCGCTGTCAAGTGGCGAAAGCTTACCGATCGCTATTCTCAGTTTGGGTATTCTCAGCAGCTCCGCGCTCCTCCCAAAACCCGGAAGGGGGCTTAATTCCTTCAGAGTAGTTGTAGAATCTTACCCCATCTTCAATGTAAAAGCTCAACTTGTCTGGTTCCGGTAAGGAGTATTGATAGGTAATGTTACCAAACTCAATGATATCTGGATCCTGGCCAACCAAGTCTAGGATAGAGAGCATTTTATTTGGTAGACTTGTTGGGAGAGGGGGTGGTACAGCTTGTGCCCCAAGTGCGTATAAGGCAAAGACGGATCCTAAGACAGGGATCAGGCATGAAGATGGCATCTTATTAGACGACTACTCCGACCAACTGAAGTATGTGGTTGTGTGAAAGGCGGCCACAGGCACCGTATTTATGTCGTCAAAAAATACCGTTGGGTCTCAGCTATAGGTTTCGAATTTGCCTTCACCTTTGTAACAATCATTTTCACCAAGGCCCAGTATCATATACAGGCTCACAAACGCGCTTGGAGGCTAGAATCAGAATGTGTAGCAGTAATGCTCAAATTAGAATCCTTTCTCTTTGTATCTTCGCGCAGATTGTTGTTGGCTTAGAGAAGGGAAAAGCGAATCAGAATTTCGATTGGCTCCACGTTTTGCCTTTTGCAATCTGCCGGCGGCATTGCTCCAAGTAGTTGTCATCCAGGCACAGTAGCACGTGGTGGATTTTGACTTTGACCTTTTGGTGGTTTCCATATTTGCTGCGAGATCCACATGTTAAATATGGCTTCCCACTCCATTCGGTTTGTAAGTCACTCCATGTTCTTAAGTACAGTTTAGCACGCACTTAATAAACAGCCAGGGAGCACCCAGCTCGTTTCACTGCTGTGAAAACTCGGAAGGTAAAGCCTAATGCGTAGCTCCTAAAAGTAGCCATCAAAATAATCTAATACTTGGTGGCTGTCGGGACATATACTCCCGTCAGAATAAGCAAAGAAAGGTTGTACGTAATCTTGCTAAGCAATGGCTCCCGCCATATGGATTCAGGGGTATTGGGTCTTAACCACGGAGGAACATCTATTTTACACGAATCAAATTGACTTTTGCTTTGGAAGCATAACCACTGTCCACTTAACTGTGTACACAGTACCTAGCTGGTTATACCAACAGTGGCGGTGGCGCTGCCATGAGGACTAAAAATATTGCCATGGAACTGATAGGGGTGCTTCGTTGGACATAGGTTATCATAAGTATAAGGCTCAGTACGGAAATCTTAAGTTGCGGAGAGTTCACAGAAAAATAGGTTTTAGCTCTAGGTACCACAACGGGGTGTCCCACTATACTATATCAGAGGGTTAAACAAGCAAGAGAAAGAAGGCTTACCAAAGGTATAGTATTACCAAGACAGAAGAAAATGGCCTAATTGGCGCAAGAAGAAACTTAAGATATCTCTGTGTTTGTTTTGCCTTTTGAGATATTTATCCAAGATCGTACAGCTAAGTAGGAAAAGATGGTGCAGGTGCAGAACTACTTCATCACTTCATATTTAGTTCAATGCACTGAGACAAACTGCTCGGTCTCGAATAAAAACGAAGAGAGATATGTTCTAAATCACCCCTACATATACATCATTAATTTCTTGTTAGCTTTAATGTACAATCAGGATAGCCGGCGCGATGGGTTATGTTTACAATTTATCTTTCGAAGAGCTAATGTCTCGCTCACCACTTTTCTAGACATTAATCCATATGAGGCAGTCGGGTAAGAAGGGCGCACGCGCGCTGACTGACTGGGAGTATCGCCTTATGAGGCTAGCTGATACAAGAGGCACCGGCCCGGTGCACGGGCTCCGGCAAGTGATTTTTCGCCATAAGTTAACTACAGTAGTTTTGCCTCTTTTGGCTCAATTGCCGCAGAATTTCTAGGGCTTGGGGCTGGCTGAGAAACTTGGAGGTGATAACGTACTTAGGGGCGGGCTCTGGTTGAACTTGTCAGCCTGTCAGACTCCTCCAAAGCAAAGCGAGAGTGGAGGTGAAACGTCAGCAGCGGACCTTGCCTTTTCCTAGTGCAAAGTCGACAAGCTTTCTCGAAGCCTTTTTAGGACTTGAACCTCGTGGAAAGTCCATGGCTCAACGAATCGAACAATCTCGCTGCCCGAGTTACGCCACGTGCCTGGTGGTGGGCCAGCAGGCATTGGACAGAACGGCCGAGGACAAAAAGTCAATTTGCTTCACTCCCAGCCACTGTGTGAGGACACACCAACCCCCGTGCCTCTCCATTCGGCTGCCTGTTTCCTGTGGTCTGTACGGCTGCAGCCATAACTCTTATCTCTGCGTGTCGCCAACAACATTCGTGCGAGACATCGGTTTCTGTCTCAAGTATCTTCAGTCGTAGGCCAACAAGTCATCGTCCTCAGGAGTTGCCAACGGAATGTACAAGGCATCTCACACCGACGAGCCCCTCGAGGGTGACGGCTACAACCAGAGCCCCAATCCAAACTCCAACGACCTGACCATCAACGAGGACTTCAACAACCTCGTCAACAGTCGGGCCGAGCGAGAAAGCGACTCGCAGACACTCCAAACGCAGCCTCGAACGTCCCAAGGCAATTACCCAGCGATGCTTCTACCGAAAATGACGGTTACGGCAAGGCCACCTACCGGCTGGCTCAGCGGTCAATTGATCGTGGCTAGTCCCTAAGGGCGGTTTGCAAATATCTGCAACCGCCTACCCCCTGGGTTGTCTGCGAGCTTCGGTTGTGGCTAACGCCGCCCGCGTCGCGCTGCCCCAGCGCGTCAGGAAGATGCTCGCTACCTTTGGCTCCTTCATCGGGCCGGGCTTTAGGATTTCGGTTGCCTACAGTATGTTCAGGACGCTCTCATCCCGCAGTCTTCCCCTTCACCTAACTTACATGCGTGCATCCAGTTGGTCCAGGCAATTACTCGACCAACATCGCCGCAGGAGCCTCGTACTCCTTCCGCCTATTGTTCATCGTCCTCCTCTCCAACCTATTTGCCATTTTTCTCCAGAGCCTGGCAATCAAGCTCGGCACCATCAGTGGCTTGAACCTCGCCGAGGCCTGTCGCGCCTTTCTCCCGCGATGGCTCAACTACATCCTAGACGCCTTTGCCGAGGCTGCCATCATTGCCACGGATGTAGCAGAGGTAGGCCCCTGATTCACTCCCGATTCGTATCTTATGCGTCGGCAAGTGCTGACTGACCAGGTGATTGGATTTGCCATTGCATTAAACCTTCTAATCCCCCAGGTACCGCTGGTCGCCGGGTGCGCCATTTCCATCATTGACGTAGTGGTAATCCTGCTCTCCTACCGCCCAGAAGGGTCCATGAAGGGCCTACGGTACTTCGAAATGTTTATCATTTCCTTGGTTCTCGTCGTGGTCGTTTGCTTTTGCGTCCAGATGTCTCTGATCCGTGTCACTACCCCCGGTGAAGTCTTCAAGGGTTATCTTCCGTCAAAATCTCTTATTGAATCGGAAGCGCGAGTTCTAAGTCCCTCCATCGCCTTCGTACTCGCTCTAATGCTGTCCCAGTATTTATCAGGCCTGCGGAATTCTCGGGGCAACAGTCATGCCTCACAGTCTTTACCTAGGGTCGGGCATTGTTCAACCCCGCCTACGCGAATATGATGAGCGAAGTAGGCTCTTGCCTCGTCAGCTTACATCGGGGTATTCGGTTCTAGATGATGGTATCGACAAAGGCTACTATGTCCCGTCCTGGGGCGCAATGTAGCACTCGCTCACGGTCTCGATTCTCGAGCTGGCCATTTCGCTCTTCACATTCGCCCTCTTTGTCAACTCCGCCATTCTCGTCGTTGCCGGTTCCTCGCTATACAATAACCCGGATGCCCTCGACGCCGATATCTTTGGTATTCACGATCTGCTCTCCAAGTCTATCTCGCCCGCGGCAGGTATCATATTCGCTCTGGCGTTGCTGCTATCGGGAGTCTCGGCGGGAATCGTCTGTACCATCGCCGGCCAGATGGTTAGCGAGTGCTCACTGAACTGGAAGATCAAGCCGTGGCTGCGCCGCCTCGTGACACGCAGCATCAGCATCACACCAAGCATCAGCATCGCCGGAGCCGTGGGTCGCTCGGGGTCAATGCAGCACTTAATGGGTCGCAAGTGGCGCCGAGCATCATACTGCCGTTTGTTACCGCACGCCTCAACTACTTTACCTGTCGCGATAAATATATGACGGTCCACCCCGGCAGAGCGCGCTGGCGCATGGCGGGCAGGGACGACGAGAGTGAGGTGGACCAGGTAATTGGAGAGGGAGCCGAGCTCGAACGCGAACGTATCAAAATGACCATCTCGCGGTACACAGCGATCCTCGCCGTCTTGATTTGGCTTTTCATGTCAATCATGAACGTGGCTAATCTGGTATTCCTGGGCAAGTAAATGTTACGGTGCCGTAGTAGCTCGGTGAGGAGCAGCTGTGGGAGGGCCAGTGGCCCAGGGAGAGGTATTCACATGGCAATTCCGTTATTGCTCCCAATCGAAATCTGGTTGTCCGCACTTGATTTTTGTTAATATGGAGCGCAACCCTGCGCTGCATGGGTGGAACAATGGGGGAATTGGTTCAGGGATGACGAAATTCGGGAAAGAGGAGGCGAGGAAAGATGGAAGTGCCCGTCATAAGAAATGGCGCTCGGCAATTTCTCTGTCCCGAGCCGTCATATCCAGCAACTTCATGTATTCAATCCGCACAGTAGGGTTCTGGTAATGGAAAGTGTCCAAGGGAGTAAATGAGCAATGAGAGGCGCTGATGTGTGGTATTAAATGTATGGGTATTTCAATAATCTACTCAATCAGCTCCTCTACGATGTTTCGAAACTAGCCAAATCAAAAATAGATTAGCATGTACGGAAATAAAAATTATGTAGGATGGCGAATCTGATTTCGAACTTGGGTTGTACTCCTGCTGGCAAACTTGTGCAAACGCAGTGAAGGCTCGACACGGGCATTGTACCGTAAACGCAAGAGATCAATTTCACTTCTAATTCCTGTCCAAGCAAACGGCCGAATGCCCATTGATGCTTAGTTGTTGGACGTCTAGACTGGGTCAGCGCAAGTCTTGCTTGACCTACTACTGTCACATATTTTGTAGGAAATGGCTTTTGGGTAAACTAGTGCAATCGGTTGCCTTTACAGTTCAAAGTTGAACCGCAATGATAACCGGTTCAACTGCGACTGACCGTCTCGACCGCGATCTGATCCGTT